AATATTTTCCACTTTTCATCACCAGCTTTGAATAGTACTGTGGAAGGAAATCTGAGGAACCTTATATGTTCAGTACTATTTAGGAGATAAACGTAATGTGTTTGGAAATTAGATGAATGTTAGACCGAACTGATGGTCTCTAAATTAATCATTTGAAACCTCTCGCGTTTATCTCCATTCTACCTATAACCGATTTAACATCGAACTTCCTCGTCCAGCGGAAGACACTGCGCGTAATCCGGATTTCGGACGAGAGGCGAATTGAACTCGTCTGCGAAGGGAGTAGTAGGTGCCGTTCGTATTTTTGTTAACATTGCAGCATAAAAATATTCTGTCCAAAGAAAACAAACTACTGTTTATTTAATGCAATAATGTAACACCTAAGAGCTTGGTTTTATACTCATAACTCCCACGACCGAAACCAGGCTATTGTTTTATGTGCCGTGTTACTGTACCCCCTGGCCACACTATAATGGAATCGTCTGACCTACTTATGTTCTTGGAAGTAGACAGTTACGCAACAGTTTGAAATGGCAGACGAGATCAGTGTTTACATTTTGCGAAAGGTTGAAAATCAAATGGACAGTGGAAAATACTTGACTGACTGTCGAACCTGAACCCTGCAGAATCGAAGAATACATCCTTTTCTGATCGACCTATGACCTGTAACTCATCAAAGACTGTTGATTTTATGACCGGCGAGTGTCGATCATGATTTCACGTACATGCCTCCCACCCCGGCATGCGACGAAAGAGTGACAGTGCTGCTTTGTGTTAATGCGATTAACTTGGGATTCCTTGGAACATTGTTCTCATCATTTGGGACTGGATTGTGGACCAAGCTTTTCAAGTGTACGAACATAGCAGTGACAGCCTTGCGGGGAAGGTGGCAGAGTGCGGAATTCTCGTGGTTCAATTTTTTTGACATTTTGAACGATGCAATGGGACATGATGTCAGATGGAGTATAGGAGTGGCCTAAATTTTGTGTTTCGCCTGACCGTTATCTTGCGAATTTCTCATCCTAAACGGAAACAAATATACCATTTACCAGGTAGGTAAATGTTTACGAACGATTTTGCCGCACAAATAGGGATAGATAGGGATGTATTTTTACAAAGGTTTCTGATTTATTATGTTAGATATTGTTTGTTTTATGGTTGGGGCTGTGTGTTGTAATTGAGTTTGAATATTTTTATAATAGAAGGTTATAATTATGATAGTGGGGTTCCCTAATAATTGTGGAGAGGGAATTCGTATAATTGTAAATTTCGAGGTTTTAATAAATGTTTCATCAGCATTTCCATCACGTCTGTTGTGTTGATATTAGTCAGGTTGGTGGCCAAGCTGAAGTAGTGCGGCAGTGTTGTATACGTGCGCGCAGTGAATCGCCGTGAAATCAGACGCATTTTCAATCAAATTGGTACCGTCTGATTTTATTGATTGACCAATCAAATTCGAGCATTTCACGTAGCCATGGTAGAATCAGTTGTATTGGCTACATGGTTCAACATATGCTTTGTGATTTGAAACTGGAATATCAGTACAAATATGAAGCATTGTTTCATCCCTAGGTTCAAGTCCAATGTCTGTAAAGTTCAACGGAGGAATGATTACGACATCGGCGACTTCATCCTTGTTGGATCCTATGACTGAAAGATCTTCGCCTCATCATGACGTAACCAGTCAAAGGATGTCGGTAACCAGTCAGTAATGCCAACAAGACCCTGTCTACTGACACGCAATCACTGTCAACTGTGCCAACAAGGACCCTCTCTACTGACACGCAAACACTGTCAACTGTGTCAACAAGCGCCCTCTTAACTACCATGAGTAGGTACCCTCGTTAAAAGTTATATTCATAACCAGTTTGAGATAATATATTTGATAAAACTTGTTGAAATGCAATTATAGGAGGCGTAGCCACGTGAACCGGGCTTCTGACCTCGGATCAGAAGGTTCGTGGTCCTAATCACGTGACATGACTCGGAAAATACTTGCTCGCCACACCATGATTTAATTCTAATTAAGAGCGTACCTACCATCATATGCCAAATTCCACCTGCTTCCTGTGTTAAGTCATAAACTGACTTATCTCCAAAAGGACACATGCTATGTTATAACTGTTGAAACGCCACTTACTCACTCACACTAGCGATGTTTGTTAATGACTGAAAATAAAGGAAACGATGTGAGTGTTAAAGTTTAAAGTCACATCAGCAGTATTTAAAATTATATCGAAGTTGGATATGTAATCGCACACGCCATTTTCAAACTACAATACAACACATCCGGGTTGTACATGTTAATCGCCAATTAAGAAAAAAGAGTGTTGATCACCATACCATGACCATGCAATGCAGCTCTTGACCATGCAATGCAAATACAATGTAGTTTGCCATAGCTTAGTGCTGACGTTCATGTTCTAAACGTAACGCCCATATTTTCCCATCATATATAGTGGTCAAAGATACAGTGAAATGTACTCCCAGCGACAAGAGCGGTTAGTTACGACAGTGGCCAAAAATTGAATTTCCGATTAGCCAACAAGGGTGAGCTCCCTTCTGGAACCGCCGATAATCCTGTTTCCCCTCAATTGACCTTTCAGCAACTATCTACTTGCCACCAGTTGTTAAAGAATACGTTCAAGTTAGAGATCAACGCGTAACATTGTTAAGGATTTTGTTTTGTTCTTTTCTCCCAGGACACACCAGTCATATGCCGAGTGTGCAATCATCTCAAGCTGCAGCGTCCTTTACGACCGTGACCTCAAAGCATAGACCTACTACTCACTCGACTGGGAGTAAACAAAGTTTGATCCTATTTTCACTCAAGCAAAAGCCCGAACGTTACAACTATCACAATACCTACCATGAACATTGTAAACCAAAAGTCACTGTGTTCTTTAATCTGTTGAAAAACATGATCGAAAGGTATTCGATTCCCGAATGTTCGCTGCGTATTAATACGTCGCTCACACCATTGTTTTGATAAGTCGTCAGCTTTGATGACGTCATTCAATCATATTGTGACCTAAAGTCAATGAGTGCAGACACAAAAACGCGTGTGGACCTTTTGGTTTACTTTTGTGTTTACAATGTCGATAAACATCATGCGTTGGCCAATTTCCGGGTGTTATAGAGTATTTGAAGCACGGGAATATTTCATTTGAAACCTCCGACTGACGCCGTCGGTTCCAAACGAATTCCCGTGCTTCAAAATACTCAATAACACCCGGAAATTGGCCAACACATGATGTTTATCTCCTAATGGGAATACTTGTTACGTTTAGAAGATTTGCAGATGATTTTATATTATCATGAAGGTTATTTGTATTTCCAACTGCAACTGGATATCCCTCAGTTCACCGCAGACTCGTTTTAATGTATCCACGTCTGCTGCTACATAAAATAACTATCACTGACTTCATTCCTGTTATCACTACTGTGTTTAATACTCCCATTGCATCTGCTACTCTATTGTACTGCCGTTGTACAAATGTATATACTTTTCAGTAATTTGTATTGAGTTAGGATACAGTTGTTAATGCGTGTAGAGTTCACAGTTAACGTATTGTTTAAACTTGCAAATCGACACGTGACATTGTTAATAGCTCTGCTTTATTCACAGGACACACCAGTGAAACGTCAAGTGTGCAATCTTCTCAAGTTACAGCGTCCTTAACGACCACTAAATCTGCGCCTGGACTAACCACTCACTCGTCAGGGAGTAATCGAACACAGCGGACTACGAAAGCAACGACAATGGTATCAACATTTTTAACAACGAGGAAGTATGCAAAATTATATTTCACGGTGTATATACATTTCACTCTTCTATCGGCTGTAAATACATAACGTCGTTTTAGGGTCATTTAGGTGATCTAAAGTCACGCAATAGTGTCAAGAACAACTTCGACATGTACAATACAAACTACACAATAAACCTATCTTAACACCTAATGCATAACCTTTGAAGAGCATTTAGAAGTGGAATGCATAAGAAAAGCAAGATTTATGGATTTCGTTTTCTTTATTGTGAATACCACGACGTTTCGGAGTGTATGCTTACTCCTTCATCAGGTGAATGTAATCTTTGAAGGGCATTCACCTGATGAAGGAGTAAGCATACACCCGAAACGTCGTGGTATTCACAATAAAGAAGTTGACATCCATAAATCTTGCTTTCTTACCCTCATGTAAAGTTTATGTTTATATATAAAATAATAATAATAAAATATACCTAATTGATTTAAACAATACTTATTCATGAAAATATTCAAGTCATGAATTGATTGGCCAATCTGAAGGGCACCCATATTCAAATACATATAGAAGTAAATACAGAAACAGATGGCACAATGATGATAGAATTCTTATATATCAGCAATCAAGATGGGAATAATGCATTAATATCGATTCGTTTGCTTGGCAGTCAGTATCAAAGTATTTATGAAATATCAACTCGATCTACCCCAATATACCTAATTGGATATTTGTACAACCTACGACTAGTGAGTGATAGAGGACATGAGAGCGATGGAGAGTTTGAATGTTTGGTTTTGCTCCATGCTGTATTCAGGAAAAGAATTGTCATTACTTTCCCCGTCCCAGTGATTCCACTACAACTGGATTAATATTTTCACTCTTAACAATGGACATGTGAGGCAAAGAGACAAACGTTGGACTGTGTTATTTAACTATGGAATAATGTGTAAGGTTAACTGATGCTCCACTTACAGGATGGGTGGTTTCACTTGCGGTGTCGTGTGCAGTGAGTGGTGTTGTTTTTGCAATCATCACAGTTATTCTTTGCAGGTAAATACGTTTACATATTAACGACTAATTACAAATGTTAAAACAAACATTCATTTTAACACATGTTATAATTGGGATTACACTTTTTCACAGTACAGTACAGATTCTCGTACATTTGTTGGGTGGAGTCCTATCCGGGATTCGAACCTACGCCCTCAGAGTCAGGCACCTACACTGCCGCGGTGTACTAGATTCTGTACTGTAATGAGAAACTGTAATCCCAAATATAACATATGTTACATTTGACCACTTTCTAAAAGGCATTGTGTATTCATATAATCTATTTCGGTTGAAATAGTTGTTTTCAAAGAACGAGCTTTGATGTAAATGAGTCTCGTTCAGTACGTAAAAGAAATGTGAAATATTTATAATAGATAATATTCTTATTGTAATTATCACACACATTCATGCGGCTGAGAAAGGGCATAATTACCATAGCTTTTTACAGCTAATCGTTTGTAGAAATAGATATTAGTGATCTCTTAACAATTGTTATATCAACAATGGTGCTTGAGAATGTTATGTACCAACTGAAAACATCTAAAATTCAACAGTTACTGAACACTTGCAGGGTGACAACACTAACACTTTTCGGCTGTTAGAAAATCTGTGTATTTAAAACGATTCACTGGTGTGATATCATCTTTTAAACATTTCAACGATCAGTCCATATCAGGTCAATAGATATAGACAGTTCACTGATCAATTAGATCATAATTTGGTTATATATTACATACATACATGTACATGACACAACAGTAACATGCAAATTATTTGTTTTGTTATAGATATAGACAAAAGAGACAGACCCGGTCCGAAGGTATTTCCACTGACAGACCCCTGGAACTGTCTACCTCGGGGTCAGCTGAACCAAGTAACCTTTACTTTGTCCTCGACCCAGCCTTCATAAATCTAAACAATGAAGAAGTACCAGATGCAGAAGCAGCATCCAAGCTGACCGACACCAGACCAGAGCACGAACGGTACTCGAAAGTATTACCAAGGCATTTGAGATTCAACCAAAACGACAAGGCACGTATTTCTGGGAATCGTGCCGAAATGGTTGATAACTTTTTATACAGCACATCAAAACATGAACTCATTGATGAAAGAGCTGACGATGCCATTCTGGTAAACATGGATACTTGTCTCGTTGATGATGGAAACATTGGGGCTGGTGTTTGTTACATGACGGAAAACGAGATCTATTGCGGGGGCCTGCTACAACTGACACCTCCGCTGAAACGAGCTCAGAAAGCGGAGATATGCCCAAAGAAATATGTGTCATGGTTGACAATGACATCTACAGTGGAGGAGAGCCCGATACTGTTAATGTAATGATCTAGATGGGGTATGAGAGAAGTGGGTGAAGGAGTATGGCTTCATGCAAGCTTTTAACTACATACATACATACATACATACATACATACATACATACATACATACATACATACATACATACATACATACATACATACATACATACATACATACATACATACAAACACATACATACATGCACATCATACATACACACATACACATACATACATACATACAATACATACATACATACATACAATCATACATACAACATACATACATGCATACATACAAACATACATACATACATACATACATACATACATACATACATACATACATACATACATACATACATACATACATACATACATAAATCTGATTGTTAGTACTCGAGACGATGAGACATACTGTAACAGAATGATGTGATGATTTGAGGACAGACATGTACCGTCATGAATGACATTGACAGTTATGACTTTAGTCTGAAAAGTGCCTCGATGATATTAGGAACTCTGACCAGCAGCCTAGTACCCATGTCTATGTAATGTTACAGTATCATTATCTAGTTGCTGGGTGGATATGTGACCTGCTATGCAAAAGTTCTCTCGCATGTGCAAAATTCATTAAACTTTACACATTGTTCTATAGTTTCTGATTACCAAGGCAGATACATCCTCGGGTAATTTGGAGAAGCTAGAGACACCTTTTGGAGTCCTGAATCACATGTTTTGTTCAATAGCAACTTATTGTTGACGTTCCTGTTAAGGCGTATGTGCCATGACAAGCAACCAAATAATGAATAAATTATTGTTTTCCTGCTTATAATATCTGATACTTTATCGGTTTATGAATCAGTCGCAAATGTTTTACCGAACGCAAAGTATGAACTTGATGTTACTGGCTTGTCAATGGAAATACTATTTTGACGTTTTACCTTGATGTTTCTTGTGTTTATGTATTGTAACACTTCCGGGTATGTAAATCCGTAAATGTCTTCTGCTGAATGTTTTGTTGTGAGCTGTATATGTTTGTATTTTATTCATTAGCACGGTTGTGCAGTTTGTTTACCACAGGACAGGACTATTCATTAGATATGTCCGGCTATACAAGATAATAGATACAATACATAGCGCCCTATATGGTTCAGAAACTATCATACTCTAAGGCACTGACATGTATATACATTTCACACTGTATTCAGTAATTATTTTTAGAACAAAACGTGAGTGAAAACCTGAACAAGTAACCGACTGTAGGCACCAAATAACAAAGTGACCGATCACGACAAATCGGGTCATATATTATTCATGTGCATTAAACGAATGAACGGATTCATGAGTAATTACAAGATGGTTCTTATTTGTTAAGATTTAAGCCTGTACAAATGTATATATTTTGTCATTTTTTTAAAGTGACATTTACAAAGTTTGCTATGCCATCTGGACAACAGGATATGGACGTGGGGAAAGTTTTAAACAAACGGGACGTCATCATATATGCATTAGATACAATTGTTCTAACACGGAAAATGACAGAACTTTCCTGTTTGATATGTTCGGAGTGTCAGATAACAGGTCACACTTGATCAGAGGTTTCCTCCTCTTTGTTATTGTCTATGAAAGGAAATTACATTATACACAAACTGCATTAACTGACAGTGTTATACGCTGTATTGCAGAATACTGTCAATTTTACTAATTCGTCAGAACGTTTTTGAATTGTGAAAACTCTGGTTTAAGGTTCATTTGGGCATATATACAACAAAGCGGTACGATCAAATTAGAATATCTAAATATGTTGCCCATGAATAACTTCACACAATGTTACATAGAATTTCACATGTAATGTCAAAAGTCGTTGTTTGTGCAGTGTGGCTTTATTAAGTGTTTTTGCCTGTGCTTCATTTTAGATTATTATTTGTCGTTTCTTGGACAACCGGGCCTACTGCTTGGAACCTTATACTTATGTCCAGCAGTGATGTATACACAAGCCCCAGTTTCTCTTTATAGCTGTACACCTTTACGCGGATTTTGTTCCATTATGTTTCACAATTAAATACTCCATACAATTGTGTGCGTTTGTTCATTGCCTACAATACCTTAGTTGAAATTGAGGGATTGACTGAGAAATCGAAATTCCAGCTTCAGTACCGAGAAGGACCCTGTGCTGAAGGTTTTTAACTCACTCGTCCAATCATAAGTAAATGCCTGTGTTGCAAGAACACACCATGGCCGACATCAACAACTTTGGGAGACTTTGTCACATACAACCGCCCAAATATGAATATGTATTAACAAAGCTATTGTCTAAGGAACACGTCTTTCATAAGAACACTGTAATAAAATGAATACACGGCATGTAATTATGAACACTGGTATAGGAAGGTGTAAAGCTTTTGTGTCAGCTACATCAGCCATACAATGCCAGTCTGCATTATCACGGTGCCAAGCACAGAACTGAGTCTCACTGGAGACTTTGGTAATGTCGCTAGCCGGTATCTTATCCCCGGATCCAGAAGGTATTTATACTGTAAATGGTCTCTCCGTGTTTCGCACGGGCACTTTAAGTATTTTTTGTTATATTGTGTTTCATTTTGGCTAATGGCCTGAACAGATCATTGCTATTAAGACCATGGATAGTGTTGTCCTACTACCCACCTTTTCAGATTAGATACAACATGTCAGTAACAGGAACTTATTGATATATCCCTCTGATCTGAATACAAATGAGAATTTCTGAAATTAAAAGAAAAGGAGAAACAGTTGAAATACAATTAAGAGACAACTGATGATGGCTCCGGAGGAAAGCATGGACTTTCTTTGAGTTTAAGTTTCAGAAACATAAAATTACAAACGTGAATTCATCATACATCTGAAAATCAAGTCTTTATCAGAGCACCCACTACTGATCAGCTTAATTAGCCATAACCTCCCACTAACCTATCAAAGGTGGACTGTTACGTGTACAGTGCCAGGTTGTTGAAACTAACAAGATAACCGGGAATGAGTAAAAGAAGTAGAAGTGCAACCAACACACAAGAAGGAAATGCGCTGAAATACGGAAGCGTAGTAGGGCCACGGTGACATTTTGTTTAGTCTCATTATCTCCTACGTAGGAGATATTAAGTCTTATTATCTCTTACGTAGGACTTAGTATCTCCTACGTAGGTCATAGTAACTCCTACGTAGGACTTATTATCTCCTACGTAGGACTTAGTATCTCCTCCGTAGGCCTTAGTATCTCCTACGTAGGACTTAGTATCTCATATGTAGGCCTTAGTATCTCCTACGTAGGACTTAGTATGTCCTACGGAGGACATAATATCTCCTACGTAGTACTTGGTATCTCCTACGTAGTACTTAATATCTCCTACAGAGGACTTATTACTTAGTATCTCCTCCGTAGGTCTTAGTATCTCCTACGTAGGACTAAGTATCTCTTACGTAGGACGTAGTACTTAATATCTCCTACGTAGTACTTAGTATCTCCTACGTAGGACATAACATCTCCTGCGTAGGACTTAGTATCTCCTACGTAGTACTTAATATTTCCTACGTAGGACTCAGTAGGTCCTACGTTACTATCTCCTATGTTGTACATAGTAACTCCTACTTAGTACTTAATATCTCCTACGTAGGACTTAAAATCTCTTACGTAGGACCTACTACCTCCTATGTTGTACTTAGTAACTCCTACTTAGTACTTAATATCTCCTACGTAGTACTTAGTATCTCCTACGTAGTACTTAATATATCCTGTAGGAGATGATCGACATATGTTAATATACATTAATCTGAAATGGTCGACTTAAATACCCCGACATGCAAACAGTCTCCTATTTCACTGTTTCAGTCACTATTAGAGTCTACAGTTATATTTTTCATTTACCATTAGAGTCTACTATCATGTGTTTCATTTACTATCAGAGTCTACTGTTTCCTTCACTATTAGTTCAGAGGTCGTTGCACATGAGTCATAATCTGCGTGCACAGACTTGTCTTAGAATATCGGTGGCAATCTATGCGTACTCATTCCCTTATACTTATACAAATAACTATAATGACAATCTTTTTCCTTTTTTAATTTCGTATTGTTGTATTTGAACGCCGCACTCAACACTCTTCTACCCCAGTCAAGTCAACTTGTCAAGTCAACGCAAACGAGCGTTGTAACCGATCCAACCTAGCCCCATCTGAAGGCAAGCAACAACTTGCGGAGGACGTGTATCATATCAGAATCTTACCCCCAACTCCCACCGCTCTCTCTTTCTCTCTCTCTCTCTCTCTAGATGCATGTATGTTAGATCAAACATAACCATACCCAAAACTCCATAACTGTAATTAGATAAAGGGCCACGTCACCCTAACGCAATACACACACACAATAACACTGTATAGTAACACTGCGTTAGTGTCATGAATATTCACTGACTTGCATATCTACTATCTAACGTCCTGCATAACGAAACATTTCTCAATTTAATAACCATACTTCATAAATCCGAACCTTAAAAAGGAGATATTAAGTCCTACGTAGGAGATATTAAGTCCTACATAGGAGATACTAAGTCCTACGTCGGAGATACTAAGTCCTACGTAGAAGGAGATATTACGTCCTACGTAGGAGATACTAAGTCCTACGTAGGAGATACTAAGTCCTACGTAGAAGATACTAAGTCCTACGTAGGAGATACTAAGTCCTACGTAGAAGATAGTAAGTCCTACGTAGGAGATACTAAGTCCTACGTAGGAGATATTAAGTCCTACGTAGGAGATACTAAGTACTACGTAGAAGATAGTAAGTCCTACGTAAGAGATAGTATGTCCTACGTAGGAGATACTAAGTCCTACGTAGGAGATAGTGACACCAAAAGCATTTTTCACCGTGGCCCTACTACGCTTCCGTACTGAAACGACCATTCTATCAATATAAATTAACTAAGTTCACAAAACGCAGTAAAATACAAGAGCAATGATTATAGCAATAAATCAATAATGGCACCCAATATATACCCAAGAAAAAGTCCGGAAATGTCTAACTGTTCCCAGCCTCACTAGAGATGCCCGTAAGATTGGTGCAGGTCTAAATATAGCACACCACTGCCCCTCACTGACTCTGCAGGTACAATGTATAACAACTGAATCGTTGTTGCACTAC